CGCCTCCCTCGAAAGCACAAGGTCCCAAGTTTGAATCCTTGTAACAAAAAAAAAAAAAAAAGAAAGAAAGAGAGATAATAACATCATATTAGAGTGACACATGCACATCAATATTTATAGCAGCACAATGCACAACAGCTAAATCCTGGAAGCAGCCTGTACATCTATCAACAGATAGGGCTGGGAACTTAGCTCAGTGGTTTTGCCGCCTGCTTTGCAAGCGCAAGGTCCTGAGTTCGATCCCTGGGAACCCTCCCCCCCAAAAAATAGTCACAACAGATGAATGGATGGAGAAAATGTGGTATCTATACATAACAGAATACTACTTGGCTATAAAGAAGGATAAATTTGAGACATTTGTAGGAAAATAGATACAAAGGGAAAATATGTGAAGTAAAATCAGACACACAAGCTTAAATACCATATAGTATCTATCATTTGAGTAAGGCAAAGTATAAATAAAGAGCAAAATAAAGAACTGATAGAAGGAAACAGGGAGACAGATCTTTTGCAAATGGGAAGGGGTTCAAGAGCCTGAGGGCAAGGGGAGGAAGGCAGGGAAATAAAAAAACTTAAAATGTGCTATATACATGTACCAAATACCCACAACGAATGTAAACATATATCATAAACATGAAGTAAAAAATAACAATAATAATAATAATAAGGAAAGGGGATCTAGATATAAACAGAAGGAGGTAGGTGGGGAAGGGAAATGGAATAAAAGAGAATCAAGATGTATTATGTACATATACCTACTCCCGAAGATGAATGTAAAATTCAGGTATTGCAAACATTTACTAATTAAAAAAAAAAAAAAAGCAATAAACCTCAACTCTGTTGTGACTCTCAGATTCCTTCTGGCTCTTGCAAGTTTGGTTGGAATGAGAAAGTGTCTTTCCCATTTCTTAGTTTCTCTCTATACAGAGGGGCAGAAGAGTTCAGTCTTAGTAAAATACTACTAACCTTTCTCCTTTCATATAGAGGAAGGACAAACTCCTTGGTGAGTTTGGAAGGAGAAACTGAGCATGATCATCCCCCTTTTTCTCCCTTCTGAGCCCGTATTCTGCTCTTTCCTGAGCTCAGGACAGCAAGCCCTGCTACTGCCCTCTTCCAGCTTGGCCTGCTACTAGGCACAAAAGGCTGGCTAATTCTGGGGTTCAGAATTAGGCTATATAAGTCATACCTTCTCCAATATACATCTGTCACTAACAAAGTGACAGTTGGATCTCCCATCTGTTTTATCTTTTGTCTTCTCTCTCAGATGGTTCTAAGAATGGGCTGGGAAGTGGGGTACTATTTATTGGACCCCCTTATAATCCTAATAATTCTACTAAGCCCAGCTGCTTACATCCCAGAAGAAGAAGACAGGGTTTCTTCTGTAAACAGGCTCAATGATTTGATATTCCTGGAATCCCCTGAGGCCTTGGCAGAACATCTTACACACTCGGATCATCATTATGATATCCATGGAGAGCTGGTACAGCCCCTATGGAAACAAAACAAACAAGATCAATAGAAACCATCTGTTCTCAACAGGCAACAGCAAGTTGGCTGGCACTCAACAAGGTGAAATTTAACAGGATTAAATGCAGTAGTGTGCTTGAACAATGGTTACATGTTCCAGAAATTTGAAAGTTGAAATTATGTTGGTACCTTCAAACTGGCCACAGGGGGAACAATCATGCCTCAGAAGTTGGCAACTACACCTGGGCATAGTGGTATATGCCTGTAACTCCAGCTACTCAGGAGGCTTACCCAAGAGGATCACAAGCTCGAGGCCAGCCTTGACTACACAACAAGTTCAACAATGGCCTGGACTGCATTGTGAGAACCTGTCTCAAAAAACAAACCAAAACAAAACAAAACAAAAATCTAAAGAAAATATGGGGCCAAGCATGGTGGTGCACACGTGTAATCCCAGCACTCAGGAGGCTGGGACAGGAGGATTGCCTTGAGTTTGAGGCCAACCTGGGCTCCATAGTGAGTTCAAGGCCAGCCTGACTACAAAGCAAGACCCTGTCTTAAAAAAGCAAACAAACAAAATTAAATAAATAGGGCCAGGGATTTAGCTCAGTGGTTCTGCTGCCTGCCCTGAAAAGGCAAGGACCAGAGTTCAATCCCCGACACCAATAAATAAATAAATAAATAAATAAAATATGGGAAGGATATTTTAGTAATAAGACTGATAGTACAACTGAGTACTATCAGGCATTATTCTAATATGTATTAACTCATTTAATCTTCAATAGTAAACTTATGCAGTAGGCCCTAATATTATCATTGCCCTTTAGACAGGAGAAAACAAAGACATAGCAAACCAAGTAACTTGACCAGGGTCACGTGGCTAATAGGTGTTGAGGATTTAAACCTAGGCAGGATGATTCCAGAGTGCACAGCTTACCCTACGACTTGACCTTGCTGCCCTATCTTGTTCTATCCGGTTCTCAGTAGCAGGGAGAATTGGTACAGAGCAGGACTCAAGGGTGCAGAGTGTGGCTCGGGGCTTGAATAGTATATAGAGGGTAATAGGCTACAGTACAGGAATCAGAATTCAGTCTTTCTGAGACTCATCTGGAGCTTCTTCCTTTGTGCCATACTGTGGCTCCAAAAGAAACAGGTTGTGTATCATTTATCCACAGCCCTTCCTATACCTGCCTCTTCTTTCCTCAAAATGCTTGTCTGTTCAATCATCCACTCAGGAATAGCCCCCCAGAGCCTTTGTCCCTCCTCACCAGTTCCTTCTTCAAGCGCATCCAAGAATGAGACACCATATGTCTCCTCATGGCTCCTGAGTCAGCAAATGGCACAAATAGACCTTTTCCTCTCAAGGGGAGGATGACAAATCTTGCCCTAAAGATACAGTTATACTAGAAACAAAGAGCTTCCCTCAATGGCAAGGCAAGAGGTCCTCTCCACTCCTCACACCCTACCAACAGCTGTTGGAATCCTGATTCTGAGAAAAATCTCATTCCCAGAATCTACTTATGTCACAGTGAAAGATTCCAGAGGGAGGAGGGGGAAATGGAAAGGAATTAGGATCTGGAAGTCTCACATTTATTGAGCACTCCTGGGCATTATCTCAGTCAATCCTCAGAACCACCACAAGGTAAAAGACCTTAAACCCGACTTCATACATGAGGACACTGGAGCTCAAGGTGGCTAAATGACTGCCAGAGTCACAGGGCCACCTTAAAGCAAGCAGGAAGCTTTTGGGATGTGGGTAGGGACATTCAACACCTTAGCCTGGGATTCATTCTGAGGCTTAGAACTTCAGACTGTCGGGTGGGTATAGGGCACTATTCCATATGTCTTGTTAAATTAGGATAATCAGGAAAACTCAGAAAAACAGAAGCCCTCAACTAAATCTGGTATGAAATATTGAAAGGACCTTGTGATAGAAATGACCCTGGGCCAGAGCAATTAGATAAGAGAAAGAAATAAAAGGAATAAGGATAGGAAAGGAAGAAGTTAAATTATCATTATTTGCAGATGACACAATACTCTACATGGAAGACCCCAAAAACTCCACCAAAAGACTTTTAGATTTGATAATCAAATTTAGTGACATAGCTGGATACAAAGTCAACACTCAAAAATCAATAGCATTCTTGTACACAAATATCAGACTCACGGAGAAATTACAGAAACAATCCCTTTCACAATAGCATTCAAAAAAAGAAATACCTAGGAATCAATCTAACAAAGGAAGTAAAAGACCATTACATGGAAAACTACAGTACTCTGAAAAAGGAGATTGAAGAGGATTTCAGAAAATGGAAAGATATCCCTGTAATTGGATAGGAAAAACCAATATAGTGAAAATGACCACACTTCCAAAATTGTTACACAGATTCAATGCAATACCAATCAAAATACCAACAGCTTTATCTCACAGAATTAGAGAAAACAATCCTAAAATTCATTTGGAACCAGAAGAGACCTAGAATAGCAAAGGCAATTCTGGGCAACAAAGGCAAGGCAGGGGGCATCACAATCCCAGAATTGAAATTATACTAGAAAGCAAGTGATAAAAACAGCATGGTACTGGCAAAAGAACAAACCTGAGGATCAATGGCACAGACCAGAAGATGCACTAATAACTCCAAATGTACTCAGCTACCCTATCTTTGACAAAGGAGCCAAACACCCTCACTGGAGGAAAGATAGCCTCTTTAATACATGGTGCTGGAAAAACTGGCTTTCCACATGCCGAAGATTGAAACTAGACCCTTATCGTTCACCATGCACTAAATTCAAACTGAAATGGATCAAAGATCTAAATATTAAAACAGAAACACTAAATTTGCTGAGAGAATAGGTAGAATGTTTAAGGACATAGGAGTAAACAAAGACTTCAGGAACAAAACCCAGACTGGACGGGAAATACTACAAAGAATCAACAACTGGGACCTCATCTTATTAAAAAAAAAAAAACACTTCTGCACTGCAAGAGAAGCCACCAACAGAGTGAAGAGACAACCCCAGAGTGGGAAATTTTTTTTACCAGATCTTCAGATAAAGGACTATTATCTAGAATATATAAAGAACTCAAAAAAATCAGACTCCTCAAATTTAAGGATCCAATGCAAAAATGGGCATCTGATGAAGAATTAGAAATGGCAAATAAATATATGAAAAAATGTTCAACATCACTGGTTGTTCATGAAATGTAAATTAAAAAATTGAGATTCCATCTCACTCCAAAAAGAATGGCTGCTATCAAGAAATTCAACCAATAACAAACACTGGAGGTTGTGCGGGGTGGTGTGGGGAGGAACTCTTCTTCACTGTTGGTGGGAGTGTAGACTGGTGCAACCACTGTAAAAATCAGTGTGGAGATACTTCAAAAAACTAAAACTAGAGGTTTCATTTGACCCAGCTATACCTCTTCTTGCTATCTTCCTGAAAGAATTAAAAGCATCATACTACAGTGATATATGCACAATCATGTTTATAGCAGCACAGTTTGTAAAAGCTAAGATCTTGAAAACACCCCAAATGCCCATCAACTGACTAGTGGATAAAGAAGATGTGTATTTTTATACAAAGCAGTACTACTCTGCCATAAAGAAGGAAGAGCTTCAGACATTTCTTGCTAAATGGATAGACTTTGAGACCATACTCTTAAGTGAAATAAATCGGGCAAACATGTTTAAATACCACGTTGTTTCTCTGCTGTGAGTAACCAAAAGTGGAAATAAGGACTGAAATGTATAATAATGTTGGGAAATGGGAAGAAGGTATTCAAATGTGAAGGGAAACAAGTGGGAGGGAGGAAGAAAGGAAGGGACAAGAAAAAAAGTGAGAATAGAAGGAAAAAATGGAAACAAAGCTTTTGTACATATGGAGGGGAGGGGCCTTGAGGGGGAAAATGGGATAAAATAAAATTTAATTTAAAAAAAAGAGAGGGCTGGGGCCGGGGATTTAGCTCAGTGGTTTTGCCGCCTGCTGCGCAAGTGCAAGGACCCAAGTTCGATCCCCAGTACCAAAAAAAAAAAAA